CATCTGTATGTCTTCTTTGGGAAAATGTCTGTTCATGTCTTCTGCCCATTTTTGGTTTTTTGGGTGTTGAGTTTTGTAAGTTCTTTATATATTTTGCATACTAAATATGTAAAGACGCATCATTTTGCAAATATCTTCTCCCATTCCATAGGTTGCCTTTTCATTTTATTGTTTCCTTTGTTGTGCAGCTGCTTTTTATTTTGATGAAGACCCAATAGTTTATTTTTGCTTTTGTTTCCCTTGCCTGAGGAGAAATATCTAGAAATAAGTTGCCACGGCCAATGTCAAAGAAATTACTGCTTGTATTCTCCTCTAGGATTTTTATAATTTCCCATCTCACATTTAGGTCTTTAATCCATTTTGAATTTATGTTTGTGTATGGCATAAGAAAGTGGTCCAGATTCATTCTTTTGCATGTTGCTGTCCAGTTTTCCCAGCACCATTTGTTGGAGAGACCACTTGTTGTCTTTTTTCCATTGGATATTCTTTCCTGCTTTGTCAAAGATTGACCAGATAGTTGTGGGTTCATTTCTGGGGTTTCTATTCTGTTCTATTGATCTATGTGTCTATTTTTGTGCCAGTACTGTACTGTTTTGATCACTGCAGCTTTGTAATATAATGTGAAGTTCCGAAATGTGATGTCTCCAGCTTTTCTTTTTTTTTCTTTTTTGAGAGACAGAGAGAGAGAGAAAGAGAGAGAGAGAGAGAGAAAACAAGTGAGCAAGGGGCAGACAGATAAAGAGAAAAAGAATCCCACGAGGGGCAGAGAGAGAGAGAGAGAGAGAGAGAGAGAGAGAAATGGGGCTCACCCGGGGCTCATGTTTTAACCAAAGTGGGGCTCGTGCTAACCTAAAACGGGGCTCAGGCTCACCTGATGTGGAACTCAAACTCATGAACTATGAGATCATGACCTGAGCTGAAGTCAGATCACCCAGGCACCCTGCTTTTCTTTTTCAAGGTTGCTTTGACTATTCGGGGTCAGACTGATAACCAGCAAAGAAACTGGTTCAGTAATCAAAAATCTCCCAACAAACAGAAGTCCAGGGCAGGATAGCTTCACAGGTGAATTCTATCAAACATTTAAAGAAGAGTTAACACCTATTCTTCTCAAACTATTCCACAAAGTAGAAAAGGAAGGAAAACTTGCAAATTCATTCCATGAGGCCAGCATTACCCTGATACCAAGACAGATAAAGACTCAACTAAAAAAGGGAACTACAGGCCAATATCCCTGATGAACATGGATACAAAAATTCTCAGTAAAATAATGGCAATCCAAATCCAAGAAAACATTAAAAAATCGTTCACCACAATCAAGTGGAATTTATTCCTGGGTTGCAAGGGTGGTTCAATATTTGCAAATCAATCAATGTGGTACTCTAAATTAACAAAAGAAAGGATAAAAACCATATAATCCCCTCAATAGATGAAGAAAAAGCATTTGACAAAGTATATCGTCCATTCATGATAAAAACCTTCAACAAAGTAGGTTTAGAGGGAACGTGCCTCAACATGATAAAGGCTATATCTGAAAAACCCACAGCTAATGTCATCTTCAATGGGGAACAACTGAGAGCTTTTCCTCTATCAGGAATAAGACAGGAATGTCTTACCACTCTTGCCACTTTTATGTAACATAGTACTGGAAGTCCTAGCCTCAGCAATCAAACACAAAGAAATAAAAGGCATCCAAATTGGCAAGGAACAAGTCAAAACTTTCACTATTTGCAGATGATATGATACTCTATATAGAAAAAGAAAGACTCCACAAAAAAGCTACCAGAATGGATACATGAATTCAATAAAGTTGCAGGATTCAAAATCAATATACAGAAATTGTTGCATATCTATACACCAATAATGAAACAGTAGAAAGAGAAATTAAAGAATCAATTCCATTTACAGTTGTATAAAAAAGCAGTAAGATACCTAGGAATAAACTTAATGAAGGAAATGAAAGACCTGTACTCTGAAAACTATAAAACATTGATGAGAGAAATTGAAGAAGACATAAAGAAATGGAAGGACATTCCATGCTCATGCATTAGAACAAATATTGTTAAAATGTCTGCACTACCTAAAGCAATCCATACATTTAATGCAATCCCTATCAAAATATCACCATTATTTTTCACAGAGCTAGAACAAACAATCCTAAAATTTGTATGGAACCACAGAAAGTCCCAAATCACCAGTATGCTCTTTTGTTTAAGCATGGGAAGGGGGAGGTAGTAAGAATATATATATTCACACTTGCATATAATTGCATAAAGAAATGCTGAAAAAGATACACCAGAAATAAATAAAAGTGGGAAAAGTCCCTTCTGGGGACTAAGGAATAGAGTTTGGAAACAGGGGTGGGAGTGAGACTTCCAAATGTATCTTTTTTGTTTAGATTTGTGAACCATATGATTGTACCACCCATTAGACTAGTTAAAAAATAAAAATAAATTAATTCTATAGTGTCTAAGTTGTATGGTACAAAAAAACCACTCATGGGAACCCATTCAATGTGGGGAGTGTGAGAAAAATAACCTGGACTCCGTTACTGCTAGGAATCATGGGATTGGTAAAGGAACAGAGCAGAGGCTCTTTCTGGGGTCCCCTAGTCTCTTTTCTGTGCTCCTGCCTTTCCGCCAAGCGGCTCCAAATTTGAGTCTGTCTGGGCTCCTTCCAGTGCTCAGACTGCCCACCTACTCTGGCCCTGCACCAGAGTGCCTAAGTCTAGCCTTGCTCATATAGGATTGGCCTCCCTCATAGGTATCATCCAATGAGATGTGGCCATGGGGCAGGGCTACGCAGCACAAACAGGGCTGACTAAGATACCCTCCCTCTTCAGTGGGAGCTGTGGTTGGAGACTATTTCCCAAAAGAGGGGTTTGGGCAGTAAGACAGTGATAGGCTTACTTGGTATATGGGTCAGTCAGAGGTCAGGGCAAAGATCCAGCCAGCATTGTGGTCCCCTAGACATGGGGGAGCAGATGAAGTCTCCTGGAGAAATGAGGCAGAGACACAGACTTGACAGTTAGGTTAAGAATCTGTGTTACCTGGGCAAGTCCTTTCCCTTCTCTGGGCTTTAGTTTCTCATTTGTGGCAAAAGGGAATGGGACTAGAGGATACTCTGGGGTTCCTTTGATCTCTAATGGGGAAGAAAGCAAAGTGCAGTGAAAAGAGCATTGAACCAAGAGTGAGGAGACCTGGTTTGGAGTGCCTCCTTGGAGTGCCTTGCTGTTGGACTTTAATTAGGTCACATGACCTCCATGAACCTCAGTTTCCTCTATCAGAAAAGAGGATAACACTCCCTGCAGATTGCTGTTACAGTTAAATAAACTCATGGATGTACAAGTGGCTTGTCAACCGTCCTGTGGGTGCAGGTATGAGAGGTAATTATAATAGCTACTGCCTCTATAAAATAGAAGCATAACACCTTCCTTGTCTCTCTGTCAGGATGACCGTGGGTGCAAATGTGACAGTGTAGGCCTTGTGTAGGCACTGAGCCCTGGACTGGACACAAGAGCTGGGCTGTATTGCTTGTTGATTGTGTGACCCTGGCTAAGAGTCCTTCTTTTCTGGGCCTCCCTTTTTCACCTGTGGCCCGGGAATGCTATTTCCTGCCTCATAGGTTGTAGTGAGAATAGATGAGAGGGTGAGCATGAGGTATGTGGTGTGGACTGTGTTGTGATTTTCAGTGAGAGGAATGATTAATGGGACTATTCCCTGGTTCCCCAACCCCTGGTTTGAAAGCCAAAGCCAAAGGTGGGTATACTGTGATGTCAATTAAACCCACACAGATCTTCTCCAAAGTCCTGTGAAGGATCTTAGTGATGCATTTACATGGTCACAATGTTTCTGTAAAACTTACAGAAGTGAAATGTTTCCATTAAGATTACTGCCTCTTCCACTGTAACTCCCATGTCATATTTCCACCATGTTGGATGGTGTTGGATAGCTGTGGACATCTTTGGGACCTGACCAAGGGGAAGTTGAATTGAAGATTTGGTTTAGTGGGATATAGTTATGTACTTTACAATCACTCTGATGTATAACTAAATTATTGCTAGCCGTTTGGCAATAATACTCCTGCCCAGCAATACCCACCATGCCAACTCACCCATTATCATGACAAAAAGGTGCAGACCAGAGGTCATACTGAAATATGTATTTATATGAAATATGAATGTGTCAGCACCCAGTACTGGCAGGTTGTGGAGGAGAAACAAGGTTTGAAATGTACAGAACCAGAGCTGGTCGGTAAAAAATGCTTCCACCATCAGAACATAGGACTCATTTCTCATGGATGCCCGGACAAAACGGAAATTCTCTCCTCTCAAAGAATGTCAGAATTCCATCGTTAGTAGGGCTTGTGTACTGTAGGAGTCCTACAAGTAGCAAGTACTTCTGGGTAAAGTTGTATGTTTTATGCATCTCATTATATGGAATCACATCTCAGTGTAACTGATGCATCTTGTCCTGATGTGGTCTCGTATTTCCAGATGAAATGGCACATGAAATCCCCAACAGAACAAGACGGCCCAGAGAAACAAGTGTTCCAGTGACAAAACTCCTACACATACTCATCAATAACTACAGTGTACATAGCGCAAGAGTAATTTTCTTACACAATTATGTAGCTAAAAACAATGTAGCAGCAATTTAAGAATGCATCTGAATTGCTCTGGTTAATGAGCCATCAATTCCAAATATTTAAGACTGGTCCTCCCCCCTGCAATCTTACCGCTCACTTATGAAAGATATTTGATAGAGGTTTCCCCCAATTTGGCAACAATCCTGAAAATTTCCAACTTTATCAATAAGTCGTGAAGCCGAAAGAAACTTTTGGGGGAATTTTGTGTTATTTGGGGGGATTTTGTCATATTTGTACTATGTCAGCTTTTCTTATACATTGTTTTGTTGGTTGTTTTGGTTTCTTTTCTCATTCCCAGTAATTATTCATGTTCATACCTGATTTTGTATTTATAGTTTTTATTATTTTCCTTACAGAAATCCTCCAATGTACACAAGCCTAAGGGCCCACAAAACGTGGATCTGCTGTGGCCTGAGGAGCGGCACTGACTCACCCTCTGGAGACCACACCAGAACTCCTGTCCCTCCTGCCCTCCCGTGGGTGAGCCCTTGCACGCCCCACCAGCACAGCACGCACTACCGCTGTCACTGCTCTCAAGCCGCAGCGCCCCTCCTGGGCCCAGAGGGCAGCAGCCACAGGCATGTACCAGGGGGCATGAGTCTCCGGAGCCCTCACCCTCCTGCACACTCCCCTGTTCAGCTTTCTGATGGGTCTAGACGATCTCACACCTTCTCTTTTGCTCCTCAGCACCATCAAGACAAAAGAGTCTGGCATTCAAGGCCCTTGTGGGTCTAGTTTTATTTTACATGGAAAATGGGGTTTTATTTTATGTTTTTTGAAATGGGATTTTAAAAATTAAATTTCCTTGCAGAAGAAGGCTGATAAACAGGAAAGCAATTTTATATCTGGTCACCACATTAATTGTTTAATGCTTTCTATTTTTTTTTCCCTATTGATTCTCCAGGAATTTCTAGGAAGACAAGCACGTCATCTGCAAATAGCCATGTGGTCAATTCCTTGCCAATATTTATCCTTCTGTACCAGTCAGAAGTTCTGTTTGCAAACAACAGAAACCAGCTCTACTTAAACTAACATGGGAAGGTTATTGGGAGAGACAAACTCGGAGCAGCCAAAATAACCAATAAAGTCCTATCACAGTTCTGCCTGCTTTTCATGCTTATAGTGCCCCCACCACCACCACCATCAAAGTTCCAGCCTGCCAAACTGACGATGTTTTCACTCTTTTATTGTTACTCTATACAACTCCAAGTCCAAGATTTCTGGGGTAAGGTCCATTCCTTCTCTAATTCTGTCCCAATCCTGTCCCAATATTCTGCAAACAGTATATACAATAGTGGATTAAAGGGAAATATAAGATAAATTCCTTAAAATATATGAATATACACATGGCTGAGCAAGGAAGAAACTGCGGGTAGGGAATATGGGGCTCTATGCCTTGGCTAAGGTGTGACCTCCCTCCTCTACCATTTATTCCAGGTTGACTTTGCCTTCAGCCAACACCTCAGTTGGCAGGGGTTCTTTATCTGGTAAGGTTGCCTGGACCATTATTCTTGAGGGGTCTGAGACTTGGTGGTCCCGCCTAAATTTGTTTGTTGTGGGGCAGCTGGGTGGCACCAGTCAGTTGAGCACCCAACTCTTGATTTCATCCCAGAGTCATGGGATGGAGCCCCGTGTTGGGCTCACTAACTATGGAGCCTGCTTAAGATTCTCTCTCTCTGCCCTTCTCCCCCATGCTCTCTCTCTTAAAAAATTAATAAGTAAATAATAAATAATATGTTTGTGTAGATTTTCTTCCATTTTGACCACCACTCATACCAGTACTAGCAGGTAAAGCAGAGGGTTCCCCGAGAGTCAACCTCATTTCTTCAGGTCTTGTTGTGATAACCTCCCTATTACCCTTTGATAGTCTAAATCAGCACTGTCTAATGCAACTTTCTGCAGTGATAGAAATGTTCCACATCTGCTCTGCCTAATTCTGTAGACAATAGCTATATGCTATAGCCCAATATGGTAGCCAATAGCCATGTGTAGATACTGACCAGCTAAGGTGTGGCTATTGTGACTGAGGAACGGAATTTCTAATTTTGCTTAATTTAAATTAATTTATAATGGCCACATTGGCTGTAAATTGTACAGCACAGATCTTAATCAATCATTCCAGCCAACACCATGACCTTCCTTTGGGCCTGTTCATCCAGTGGCATAGAGAGCCCATACTGGCTGGTTGGCACTATTAACGTCCTATATGTCCCCAGAATGAAGCTTTCCTCCCTTGGGTATCAAAACCTCTAAACCAGCAGATATAGAGCAGATATAAGAACAAAATTTTTTTTTGAAAGGGGGGTTATTTGGTTCAATAGTGACAAATGCCAAAATTTTATCACTATAAATTGGTTGCTGGTTGAGCCCACATACCATGTCTTAGAGGACAATATCCCAAACTTGCAAGAGGTTGTCTACCAAGATGCTATAACTGATCTTCAACAGCCCATTCTATTTTCTTTTTTTTTTTTCATTCTATTTTCTATCAGTCCAACTCTCCTGGGGTGTGGTAAGCCCCATGAATCCCATGTCCATCAGCCCATTGCTTCACTTCTGTTTTTACTGTAAAGTGAGTTCCTTGGGCAGAAACAGTATTGAGTGGGTTGTTCTGATGGCGTTTATTAAGTGCACTAATGGTGGTCCTGACAGAAGCATGAAGGAGAGGAAATGCATATTTAACTCCAATACAAATATTTATCCCAATGAGGACAAACCATGAGCCTTCTCTGATGGAAGGAGTCCAGTGTAACCAACTTGCTATCAAATGCTGACAGGTCATCTCTACTGCAATACATTGGATTTGTGGAATTGGCCTCCACTACTGGAAATTAGAGTCTTGTTAGTGGCAGTGGCTGCTTCAGCTTTGGAGAGGCTGTCAACTCCTTACTTGGATAGGTGGTCTCTGTTCCTGCCTCCAAACCCACTTTATTTTTGAGTGGGCCCGGTGGTAGCTGAGGGAAGAAGCTATCTACTCATCCACTGATGAGGGAAGCTCAGGGAAGAAGCTATCTACTCATCCACTGGGAAGATATCTACTCATCCACTGGGTAGGAATCTTGTCCACCTGATCATTGAGAACTTCCTTCACAGTGGGCACATTTTGGAGAGCATCAACATGGGACACAAGCAGTCTCTGCTTCTGGGTCAATTCTGAGAGATCCACTCACGTTCTCCCGAGACCACCTTGTCACCAACCTCCAATCCTGTTCTTTCCAAACTCCCAATTGTCCAGCTAGACCACTAGCTATTGCCCATGAACCAATGTAGATCTGTATCTCAGGCTTTCAGAGAAAGTGGTCAGGATGAGGTACTGTTCTACATTCTGTCCTTGAGAGAATTTCTCTTCCCCACCATCTTTTGGGACCACCTCCAACTGGGACAGTAGCACCACAGCAGTCCACATCCAGGGGACCAGCTGTGTGCAAGGAACACCCCATGAAGTCATAGGTGTGGATCATGGTGGGAGTGAGGAGAGGGCAGGGACACAGATTAAGAGATGTCCCCACAGCTGTGTTTGGGTGACAGGCCACTTATGTGCCCGAGTGAACACGCACAGCAACTCCCATTGTGACAGTTTCTTCCTCAGGGAAATCTGTGCTCCAGCCTTCCTGCTCTTCTTGCATCTGCTCTTGTAGTTATAATTCCAACATTTATTTTGTGTATTAGAGTTTGGTATGCCAGCCTTGCCAAAGAGTCTCTCTCCATCTTTATGTCCTACGTAGTTTAAATAAGATTATCTGTGCTTCAATAGTTTGTCAAATTTTACTTTGAATTTGTCTAGGTATTTATGTGTTTTGGTGGATAGAACCTGCACAGTCATTCCATTTTCTTCTGTAGTTATTGCACCATGCAATTTTTCCACCACATGAGTCCATTTTGGTAATTGATATATTTCTAGTAATTTATTCACTTTATCCACAATAGCCATCTACTTTTTATCTAAGTTTTTACATGTTTTGCCCTTTCTAATGATACATATTTGTGATTTTTCTTTTTTCTTAGGCATGGCACAGTCTGCTCAGATCTTAATTTTTTTAATTAAGTTTTTAAATTTTAATTCCAATATAGTTAATATACAGTTATGCTAGTTTCATGTGTACAATATAGTGATTCAACAATTCTATACATTACTCAGTGCTCATCAAGATGGGTGTACTCTTAATTCTCTTCACCTATTTCACTCACTCCCTGACCCAGCTCTCCTCTGGTAACCATCTGTTTGTTCTCTATAGTTCAGAATCTGTTTTTTGTTTTGTCTCTTTTTTTTTCCTTTTGTTCATTTGTTTTATTTCTTAAATTCCACATATGCATGAAATCATATGGTATTTGTCTTTCTCTGACTTACTTATTTTGCTTAGCATTATACTCTCTAGCTCCACCCATGTTGTTGCAAATGGCAAGATTTCATCCTTTTTTATGGCTGAGTAATATTCCATTGTGTGTGTGGTGTGTGGATATATATATATATATATATCAGATTATCTAGGTTTTGATATGAAATATTCTCGTTAATAATTTCAGACAGTTTGTAATCCTAATTTCATTTTTCAATTTAACTTGAGCTTTTTAGAGGAATGTTTGAGAATTTCCAAGTGGTTAGGCTTGAGGTGAAGGTGTTATCCTTTTGTTGTCGATTTTCTAGATTGATTACATTGTGATCAGGGAACGTGGCCCACATAATATATACTTTTTGGTTACTGAGATCTTTGTGGCCTGGTGTGTGGTCAGTTGTTGTTATTGTTCCATGAGAATTTGAAAAGAAAACACAGAGTTTGCTTTGAGGCTACACACGAAGCTTGTTAAATTTGATATTCAAAACTTCTCTTTCCTCTACTCAGTTTGATTCTGGGTTAGATAAATTCTCCCACTGTGACTATGGTTTGGATAAAGTCCCTTTTTATTTCACATCTTCTTGGTAGACTGTGTTTTTTACTGAGGAAAAAATGCATTCTTTATCTTGTTTAACATGTGTCTTGTCTTGAATTCTACCTTGTCTGATATGAGCATACTCTGCACTGCTTTCTTTTCATCAGTATTTGCTTGAGATCTCTTTGCCAGATCTCCAATGTTAATCTTTGTCATTTTGCTATAAGTGAGTATTTTGTAACTGGTGTATCATCAGATTTATGCATGTGAGTGTATCCAAGAATATGTGTGTGCATGCCCAATATTAGGGGCTTTATCTTTAATAAAGAAATTTAATTCACAGTTATAATGTAACAATGAAATGTTTGGTCTTTCTGCCATTCTATTTCATTTTTTCTGTTTATTATTCTTTTTCAATATTCTTACCTTTTTTCCTTCTTCTGAATTTTGTTGCTTTTCCTCTTGTGGTTTTCAGTTTCCATATCCCATATCCATATTATTAGTGCTTATCTTTATTAGCAAATGTATTTGAACATATAATTCCCTATTTACATTAAGAATTAAATAGAGTATAATTCACCCACTGAATAAGATAAATCTGGCGTAAGACAAGTCCAGAAGTCCGATTTAAATTTAGACACCAGCTTTTCAGAGAGTTGTCTAGAACACTAACTGCTAGCACCTGGTTAGCCTGGTGGAAAATTGAACTTTGGCTGCTGAGGTAAAGGTAGCCCCCAGCGAACAGTCTGCTTACTACCAGGCCACCTGAATTTCCATAGTCATTTGCTAGATAATTTCACATTGTCTCTTCATGCCCTTATTTTTTCTATTCCCTGGAATAACTTAATAAGCATTGAGAATATTTGTTTCTTCAGCTTTAGAAAGCTCCCCTCTGACATTTTTTAGGAATTGGCTCTTTATTAATTTTTAAAATATTTATTTATTTTTAGTTTATTTATTTTTTGAGAGAGAGCAAGCAGGGGAGGGGCAGAGAGAGAGAGAGAGAGAGAGAGAGAATCCCAAGCAGTCTCTGCACTATCAGCACAGAGCTTGATGTGGGGCTGGAACTCATGAACCGTGAGATCATGACCTAAGCTGAAATCAAGAGTCAGACACTTAACCGACTGAGCCACCCAGGTGCCCCTAGGGATTGGCTCATTCACAACTTTGTTTCTTTCACTGAGATTTATCTGTTTAGACTCTCTATCTCTTCTGGGGTCAGTTTTGATAAATAATCTATTCTTAGAAAATCACCATATTTCAACTAGATTTTTCAAATATATTTACATAGGGTTATGCAGAGAAACCTTTTATCATTTTTAAATTCCCTCAGTTTCAAGTTATTCCCACTTGTCTTTCCTGTTTTGGACATGTGTGCTGTCTCATGCATGACTTCTCTCTCCTTCTCTGACTCACAGATGGATGTCAATGCTCAGGGAGGCCTTGGAGACCACTTGTTGAAGACGACACAACTTCTTTCACTCTGAGTCTCTGGATAACTGTGGACAGCAAAGTCCCCAGCTCTTCCCATCTCCTCCAGTCAGACTCCACATGAGCAAAAAATAAACTATTGTACTAAGCTGCTGATGTTTCAGGAATTTACTTAGTATGGCCCCTTATCTAGTATATATGTTTGATTCTATTATTTTTATAGTTTCATTTTTACAATTAAAATCCATCTGGAATTTGCTTTAGAATAAGAAATAACATGGCGAGCCATCTTTTTCTCTGGATACACAGTTGTACCAAGACTCTTGAGTGATGGTTTTCCCCTTCTGATTTAAAATACTACCTTTATCCTAAACTAAATTCTCATATTATTTCTATTTCTGAGGTCTTCAATTTGTCCCTTTATTTAGTCTGTTTACGTACCAGGACCAAAGGCTGTTGATCTTGTTCTTTGCCAAGCTTTCCTTGAGATGTAGTGTGCTTTTTCAATCTGTGAATTCAAGCCTTTCTCTACTCTGGGGATGTCTTCCTCTCACTTCTTGATCTCTTGGTTCTCTCTCCATGTGCCTTTGTGTTTTCAGCATTTCCCTTATAGATGCTTCTAAAGTGGCATTCACATTTGCAGTCATGTTTGTAATTTCTGAGTTCTCTTTCTCTTTCACAGTAGCCCGCTCTAGTTTTATCTATGTGACATCCTCTTGAATCTCAGAATAATTTCCAAGTTATTTATTGAATTCACTCCTTTTCCCTGTAGGCCTTTTCTTCTGACTTCTTGCCTTGATCCCTTCTTTTGAGCTTTTCTTTCTCCTCATAGTTTGGTGATTTGTTGTTGTGACTGAACATTTTGATTTTTCCTATTTTTAAAATGTTTATTTATGTTTGAGAGAAAGAAAGAGCTGGAGAAGGGCAGAGAGAGAGAGTGGGACAGAAGATCTGAAGCAGGTTCCATGCTGACAGCAGAGAGCCCAATGCGGGGCTTGAACTCACAAACCGTGAGATTATGACCAGAGCTGAAGTCCAACGTTTAACCGACTGAAACACCCAGGTGCCCCTCTCCTATTTATGAGTGAAGGTCCAGATCCTCACTGTCCACAGTGAATTCTACAGCACACTAGTTCCGTGGGAGATTAGAAGGATTTATAGGAAAAATAGTTCAGTGGTCTAATAAGTGTGGGAAGTGAGGAATTAAGCGAAAAATTTAAAAAGTTACTGCAGAAACAATACCAAGTAATGGTGACGATATGGAATAACAGAAAGTCTCATGCATTTCTGGGGGAAGTGTAAATTGGTACTTTGGAGAACAAAGTTTGCATATACCTGCAAATTCCATTCCTAGGAATAATGACGCAAGAAAAATGCAAAACACGTGCTCACAAAGTCTAGTAGAGAAGTGTTTGTAGTAGTTTTGTTCAGGCAAAAAACTGGAAAGCCCTAAATATTTAAGGGTTTTCCAGGTTTTTGCTTGAACAAAACAAAAAGAGATAAGCAAACTATAATAAATATGTTTTTGCAGTGGACTACTCCTCAACAATTAAACATAACGAACTCCTGGCACATGCAGCAACATGGATGGATTTTGCAATTATCACGCTGAGTGAAAGAAGCCAGACACAAAAGAGCACCTACTGTATAAGAATCCATGTATATGAAGCTTCGGGACAGGCAAAACTAATCTATTGTCATAGAAGTCATACAGTGGTTGCCTCTGGGGTAAGTATAGAGATGATGGGAAAGGGGCATGAAGGAACTTTTTGGGGCAATGAAAGTGTTTTAAATCTTGATGACTGTGGGTTATATGGGTATGTTATTTTGTCAAAATTCATTGAACTGCACACTCAAGACCTATAACTGCACTGAATGTAAATTAGGCAAAAAAGTTACTGCAGGATTTCTCAGAGCCTTTAAGGTAAGGTGTGTTATGAATGACAAGAGGAGGATGTAGCACACAGGGTTTCCTGACCTAATTTGAACCTTGTTGGGGAGGGTGTGGACAGGAAATATGTCCTTCCAAGAGCATGAACTGAGAGCAAATGGCCATGTGGGGACAGGAGAGACAATATTCCTTGTGTCTCATGTTCTAGGTCTCCTGGGGAACTCTTCCCACTGAGAGACTGGGGCCAGGGAGAGGTAGAGTCCAGGCCATGCCACCTGCTCTCCACCCACCCACTCCTACACCTCCTACTAATGGGATCTCAGGGTTTCCTGAGAGGAGTGGGCCGTTAGAGCCAATAGCAGTAGAGAAGTTTCTGGTATGGCAGGAGCTGCCCCTGCTCGGTCAAGTCCCTCTCATGGTTTCCCTGTGCTGTGATTGTATGGTCCTATCCCCTCTGCTATGCAGGCCTCTTGGACCCCTCACTGACTCAGCATGTGGTCATAATCCAGTAAATCCTGAGGACAAAGAGTGGCCTGGATGTAGCTTCTGAGGCATCCTCCAGCCACTTTGCTCAGTCCTGCCGCCCTGAGTTGGGGGCCTCCTGGGCTCTGGTGAGGAATCTGGTCCCCAGAGTTCTCTGGTGGGTCGTAGGTTCTCAGCTTTGCCTCTCAGCTTCTAGAAATCTCTCAGAATGATTACTCTGTTGTCAATGGTATTCTTTGCTGTTTTCCATTGCTGCTAAAGAGACCTTCTTATTTTTCTCTTTTTTCTGTCTATTCAAATGGATCCCAGCAGGCAACTTATGAATGGGTGTGTGCATGTGTGTGAATACTTGTGAATATCTGTGCAGCCTGAGCTTGGAAGGGGTTGGAGGAGGGGACGGAAGAGGTGGGCAGGTGGGTAGCCAGGCAGGCAGTTGACCATCTGCCCCATGAAAGGTCCTTGCTGCACACAGGAATGACATTGCTGTGTGGTGGGGCTGACAGATGCTCCGCAGGAGATTAGGAAATAAGTCTGCATCTCCCCTGGGCCCTGATACCATCAGCGGTTAAGAGGCCTGTCTGATTTCATTACAAATCTTCCATTCCCAGGGCTTAAAGCTCAGCCTCCAGACTCACAGGTGTGGGAGGACAGTCGGCCACAGCAAGGGCATTTTGCTTTTAATTGTGGCCATTAATCTGGCACCAACAGCTGGTCTATCCTACAGGAGAAGGGGGGGGCTGACAGGAAACCCATCAATTGGGAACAAGTTGGCTCTGCTGCTTTGCTCTCTAGTGAATGGGGAGAGAGAGGGAAAACCTTTTTAATCTTGCTTTTCAGGGCCCACTTTCCTGGCCTCAGTGGGAAGGATCCAGATTTGCTTTCTCGCTGGATTTTGTAGGAGTTTCCTGAGGCCGATAGGTGACCATCTCCCAAACCATGTTCCCCATATTTTCCTAAGGACAGGACTACTGTGGTGTGTGGTGGCACCTTGTCTACTGCCAGCCCCTGCCCCACAGTCAGGACGTGTCCCAGAGGGAAGGGTGGGGTGGGAATATGTACCAGGGGCCCAGTGAGGAGAAAGGTGGAATGGGGAGAGGCCCAGAGCCACCCTGGGCACAGCTAGAGGGAAAGCTAGCATTGCCACAAAAAGTTGAGGAGAGCCAGACAGCATGTGTGCTTGTATGCGTGTGTATGGGCACACTTCTGTGTGTGTGTGTGTGTGTGTGTGTGTGTGAGAGAGAGAGAGAGAGAGAGAAAGAAAGAAAGAAAGAAAGAAAGAAAGAAAGAAAGAAAGGTGGGGGGGGATAGAACTTCATCCTGGTAAATTCCACCCCATCTCCATCCCTCAGCTGGAGCTTCCTCCAGGATGGCTCTGGCAGGCCTTGGGGGCAATTTAGAGGCAGAGGCCTGGCCTGGGAGCTCACCAGCATCAGACAAGTGCCGAGGGGCAGATGGGGGAGAGGGAGACAGACAGCAGTCAAGGAGGTGCTCTGTGGGATTGGAAAGGCAGTGCGCAGACTGAGGCTTTGAAGGGTGAATAGAATCCTGACAGGCAGAGTTGGGGCTGGCATGTGGATGGGGAAGGGGTGTGCTTCTGGGACTCTCGCAACTATCCGAGGATTCTCTGAGGAGCAAGGATCTACTAAAGAAAGAGGCTCCATTGACAGTGAGCTTGATTTCTGGGTGGCAGGCCTGGGACTCAGTTTCTGGGGTCAGTGGCTGCCCCTGTGAGGATCCTTTTCCAAGGGTGGTCTTGTGTCCTCAGACCACCTCAGTCTGGAGAGAGCCGGTTGAAGAGCTGGGATGGCCATAATCACAGCAACCACCAACTTCTGTGTACCAGGGCTCTGGAGACCCCGTGTAGCGTTGGGAGGGGCTGATGCAGATATGGTTGGTTGCTGAGGCTCAGAGAGGAGAGGGGTTTGCCCAGGGTCGCACCAGGAGTACGTGCTTTTGAGCCCAGGCCCTCCTTGCTGTACTGTGGGACCTTCGAGAAGAAGTCCAGCCTGCACTCCCCACTTCCTCCCACCAGACAGGAAGCGTCTGGGCACAGATAGGGGAGGGAACAAGATGCCAAGGTCTGGTCCTGGAGAAGGCTGTTTGGTTCTGGGAAGGTCTTTTGATTTCTCAAAGGAAAACCTAAATTCTTGCTGCCTGTTTCTTGAGTAGAGAGTCAATTAAGACTTACGTGAATGTGGAGCACACATTTCTTTGGCACAGGTCAGAGGAGCCCTGGCTCATTCACTTCCTAAGCTTAGTGACCTTTGGCAAGTCGACCCTCTCCATGCCCAGGTTTCCTGACTGGCAAAAGGGGGTAGGTACAGGGCCCATCTCACAGGGCCGTTCTGCAGATGAAATGCATTATGCAGGTAAAGCACAGGGAACGGTATCTGGCTAAACCAAGCTGCACAACAGGAGCTGTTGTTGCGACTGTAAAGTCTTGTCACCGCAGAGCACCATTCAGAGGAAGAACAAACCAGTCAGTTACAGAGGAGCTTGTCCAAAAGGGAGGGTGTCAGTCCTCTGGAGACCTGACCCCCTGGGCAGTTGCCCAAGCCAGGAGCTCTTGATTTTACTTCCTGGGAATTTCTAGGATCTGGCCCTGCTCGTGCATTTCCATGGCAGTGAGTCAAACTGGGGGATCTCCTAGCCTCTCTCCCCTGGCTGTCCCTCCTCCTCGATTCCCCCTCTGGACCCTCCTCCACTGCAGCAGCCAGAAGGATCTTTCGTAGAGGGCAAATCTGAATATGTCCTCCCTCTGAGAGCTTCCTGCGG